ATTTTATATCAAGCAATTCTGACTTTATATCTCGCAATTCTGATTTTACAACACGCAATTGCAACTTTATATCAATCAATTCTGACTTTTATATCACGCAATTCTGATTTTACAACACGCAATTGCAACTTTATATCACGCAATTCTGACTTTTATATCACGCAATTCTGATTTTACAACACGCAATTGCGATTTTATATCAAGCAATTCTGACTTTATATCTCGCAATTCTGATTTTACAACACGCAATTGCAACTTTATATCAATCAATTCTGACTTTATATCTCGCAATTCTGATTTTACAACACGCAATTGCAACTTTATATCACGCAATTCTGACTTTATATCTCGCAATTCTGACTTTATTATCTCGCAATTCTGACTTTATATCTCGCAATTCTGACTTTATTATCTCGCAATTCTGACTTTATAACACGCAATTGCGATTTTATATCAAGCAATTCTGACTTTATATCACGCAATTCTGATTTTACAACACGCAATTGCGATTTTATATCAATCAATTCTGACCTTATATCTCGCAATTCTGATTTTACAACACGCAATTGCAACTTTATATCACGCAATTCTGACTTTATATCACGCAATTCTGATTTTACAACACGCAATTGCGATTTTATATCTCGCAATTCTGACTTTATATCTCGCAATTCTGATTTTACAACACGCAATTGCAACTTTATATCAATCAATTCTGACTTTATATCTCGCAATTCTGACTTTATATCTCGCAATTCTGACTTTATATCTCGCAATTCTGACTTTATTATCTCGCAATTCTGACTTTATATCTCGCAATTCTGACTTTATTATCTCGCAATTCTGACTTTATATCACGCAATTGCGATTTTATATCAAGCAATTCTGACTTTATATCTCGCAATTCTGACTTTATTATCTCGCAATTCTGACTTTATAACACGCAATTGCGATTTTATATCAAGCAATTCTGACTTTATATCTCGCAATTCTGACTTTATTATCTCGCAATTCTGACTTTATAACACGCAATTGCGATTTTATATCAAGCAATTCTGACTTTATATCTCGCAATTCTGACTTTATTATCTCGCAATTCTGACTTTATATCTCGCAATTCTGACTTTATTATCTCGCAATTCTGACTTTATAACACGCAATTGCGATTTTATATCAATCAATTCTGACTTTATATCTCGCAATTCTGATTTTACAACACGCAATTGCAACTTTATATCACGCAATTCTGACTTTATATCTCCCAATTCTGATTTTACAACACGCAATTGCAACTTTATATCAATCAATTCTGACTTTATATCTCGCAATTCTGATTTTACAACACGCAATTGCAACTTTATATCACGCAATTCTGACTTTATATCACGCAATTCTGACTTTATATCTCGCAATTCTGATTTTACAACACGCAATTGCAACTTTATATCACGCAATTCTGACTTTATATCTCGCAATTCTGATTTTACAACACGCAATTGCAACTTTATATCACGCAATTCTGACTTTATATCTCGCAATTCTGATTTTACAACACGCAATTGCAACTTTATATCAATCAATTCTGACTTTATATCTCGCAATTCTGACTTTATATCTCGCAATTCTGACTTTATTATCTCGCAATTCTGACTTTATAACACGCAATTGCAACTTTATATCAATCAATTCTGACTTTATATCTCGCAATTCTGATTTTACAACACGCAATTGCAACTTTATATCAATCAATTCTGACTTTATATCTCGCAATTCTGATTTTACAACACGCAATTGCAACTTTATATCACACAATTCTGACTTTATATCACGCAATTCTGATTTTACAACACGCAATTGCAACTTTATATCAATCCATTCTGACTTTATATCTCGCAATTCTGATTTTACAACACGCAATTGCAACTTTATATCAATCAATTCTGACTTTATATCTCGCAATTCTGATTTTACAACACGCAATTGCAACTTTATATCACGCAATTCTGACTTTATATCTCGCAATTCTGACTTTATTATCTCGCAATTCTGACTTTATAACACGCAATTGCGATTTTATATCAAGCAATTCTGACTTTATATCTCGCAATTCTGATTTTATAACACGCAATTGCAACTTTATATCACGCAATTCTGACTTTATATCACGCAATTCTGACTTTATATCTCGCAATTCTGATTTTACAACACGCAATTGCAACTTTATATCAATCAATTCTGACTTTATATCTCGCAATTCTGATTTTACAACACGCAATTGCAACTTTATATCAATCAATTCTGACTTTATATCTCGCAATTCTGATTTTACAACACGCAATTGCAACTTTATATCAATCAATTCTGACTTTATATCTCGCAATTCTGATTTTACAACACGCAATTGCAACTTTATATCACGCAATTCTGACTTTATATCACGCAATTCTGATTTTACAACACGCAATTGCAACTTTATATCAATCCATTCTGACTTTATATCTCGCAATTCTGACTTTATTATCTCGCAATTCTGACTTTATAACACGCAATTGCGATTTTATATCAAGCAATTCTGACTTTATATCTCGCAATTCTGATTTTACAACACGCAATTGCGATTTTATATCACGCAATTCTGACTTTATATCTCGCAATTCTGATTTTACAACACGCAATTGCAACTTTATATCAATCAATTCTGACTTTATATCTCGCAATTCTGATTTTACAACACGCAATTGCGATTTTATATCAAGCAATTCTGACTTTATATCTCGCAATTCTGATTTTACAACACGCAATTGCAACTTTATATCAATCAATTCTGACTTTATATCTCGCAATTCTGATTTTACAACACGCAATTGCAACTTTATATCACGCAATTCTGACTTTATATCACGCAATTCTGACTTTATATCTCGCAATTCTGATTTTACAACACGCAATTGCAACTTTATATCAATCAATTCTGACTTTATATCTCGCAATTCTGATTTTACAACACGCAATTGCAACTTTATATCAATCAATTCTGACTTTATATCTCGCAATTCTGATTTTACAACACGCAATTGCAACTTTATATCACGCAATTCTGACTTTATATCACGCAATTCTGACTTTATATCTCGCAATTCTGACTTTATTATCTCGCAATTCTGACTTTATAACACGCAATTGCGATTTTATATCAAGCAATTCTGACTTTATATCTCGCAATTCTGATTTTACAACACGCAATTGCAACTTTATATCACGCAATTCTGACTTTATATCACGCAATTCTGACTTTATATCTCGCAATTCTGATTTTACAACACGCAATTGCAACTTTATATCAATCAATTCTGACTTTATATCTCGCAATTCTGATTTTACAACACGCAATTGCAACTTTATATCAATCAATTCTGACTTTATATCTCGCAATTCTGATTTTACAACACGCAATTGCAACTTTATATCAATCCATTCTGACTTTATATCTCGCAATTCTGACTTTATTATCTCGCAATTCTGACTTTATAACACGCAATTACGATTTTATGTCAAGCAATTCTGACTTTATATCTCGCAATTCTGATTTTACAACACGCAATTGCGATTTTATATCACGCAATTCTGACTTTATATCTCGCAATTCTGATTTTACAACACGCAATTGCAACTTTATATCAATCAATTCTGACTTTATATCTCGCAATTCTGATTTTACAACACGCAATTGCAACTTTATATCACGCAATTCTGACTTTATATCACGCAATTCTGACTTTATATCTCGCAATTCTGATTTTACAACACGCAATTCTGACTTTATATCAATCAATTCTGACTTTATATCTCGCAATTCTGATTTTACAACACGCAATTGCAACTTTATATCAATCAATTCTGACTTTATATCTCGCAATTCTGATTTTACAACACGCAATTGCAACTTTATATCAATCCATTCTGACTTTATATCTCGCAATTCTGATTTTACAACACGCAATTGCAACTTTATATCACGCAATTCTGACTTTATATCACGCAATTCTGATTTTACAACACGCAATTGCAACTTTATATCAATCAATTCTGACTTTATATCTCGCAATTCTGACTTTATTATCTCGCAATTCTGACTTTATAACACGCAATTGCGATTTTATATCAAGCAATTCTGACTTTATATCTCGCAATTCTGATTTTACAACACGCAATTGCAACTTTATATCACGCAATTCTGACTTTATATCACGCAATTCTGACTTTACAACACGCAATTGCAACTTTATATCAATCAATTCTGACTTTATATCTCGCAATTCTGATTTTACAACACGCAATTGCAACTTTATATCAATCAATTCTGACTTTATATCTCGCAATTCAGATTTTATAACACGCAATTGCGATTTTATATCACGCAATTCTGACTTTATATCTCACAATTCTGACTTTATATCACGCAATTCTGACTTTATATCTCGCAATTCTGACTTTATATCTCGCAATTCTGACTTTATATCACGCAATTCTGACTTTATAACACCCAACTGCGATTTTATATCACGCAATTCTGACTTTATATCTCGCAATTCTGACTTTATATCTCGCAATTCTGACTTTATAACACGCAATTCTGACTTTATATCTCGCAATTCTGACTTTATATCTCGCAATTCTGACTTTATATCTCGCAATTCTGACTTTATATCTCGCAATTCTGACTTTATATCACGCAATTCTGACTTTATATCTCGCAATTCTGACTTTATATCTCGCAATTCTGACTTTATAACACCCAACTGCGATTTTATATCACGCAATTCTGACTTTACATCTCACAATTGTGAGAAAAAAAGTCAGAATTGTGAGATAAAAAGTCGCAATTACCTTTTTTATTTTTCATTCAGTGGCGGAAACAAGCTTCCATACCAACCAGCTAAGAACATGTGTCAGGTGATTATAAACATCACTCAAAACATTTTCATCCTACATTCTACTAGGAACACACCTATGCATTGGCTGCATCTCCCACTGGTTTAAAGGCCAGACTCTGTGAAGCCTTGGCTAGAGTGGAGAGTCTGGAGCGAGAGAAGAGGAATGTGAAGGACCGAGAAGAGCACTGTGCATGATCTGAAGGGGAAGAACCTCAAAAATGAAGACTTGAAAGAGAGGCTCAATTTCTACTCTGGTAAAAAAAACAAAAAAACTTTATGCATATCTTATGTGTACACACTTTCCCATTGTTATTATTATTATTATTTCCATTATTATTGCAAGAACACTTATTAGTTAGTCTGTTATAACTGAATTTCAGATCTTCCGATAGACCTCTTATCAATGATGGATGCTTGCCAACATGTTGAAGCTGGCTCGAAATATGTCGCAGGCTTACAGTCCAATAACTAGCAGCACTGGTCAGATCAACTGGACATTCATGGTTCATCTAAATGATGTTCAAGTCAACCGAAAAGGTAACAGGCAAGCACGTGCGTTTCGATTCCCAGAAGATGAAGGTGTCTTTGGCTAACAGAAACACTAAGTCGCTCAGTCGCTGTAGCTCTGCGCACATTGAGAGACCTTGGCTATTCACAGTTTAAACACTGTGAAGCAACGGCTGAATTCATTGAGGTAATATACTATGCAAAAAAGGTGATGGATAAAATGCTTTCTCTTAATGCAAACATTTGCTTTTAGATGATTGACAGGCTATTTGACATAGTGAACAGCCGCAATCCACGTGCCAAAGGGTTCAAAAGTCCCCTGGGTTCTTGAAATTGGAGTGATCGAGTTGAGAGCCAGGGAATATTTCATTAGTTTGGTGATGAAAGATGGCACAACCCTTCATCAATCAAAGAGGTTATTTAAAATTGATGAGTTCACAAGTTCATGACATCATAAGTTCATATGATGCTCTTGTTCCCTTGTTCTGATCTTTCCACTGTCTCCTTAGAATTCTTCTTTAGGTGAAACCCAACAAATTAGAAAATCGTGCACAAGTTATAATTTTGATGATTATGGCTTAGAGCATATGAAAACCCCAAATTCAAAATCTCAGAAAATTTGAATATTACATGGGGGAAAAAAAGGATTTAAAATACAGAAAAGTATTTCTCTACTTGGTACTTGGTTTGGGCCCCTTTTGCATGAAAAACTGCCTCAATGCGGCGAAATAAATGAACTTTTGCACGATATAACAAATGTTCGAGTTTCACCTGTATGTTCAGTATTTTTTCAGTTCTTTCAGGTGGCAAATTGGTATGTATGCACTATATTCATATGTTTAAGCCTTTCCAGTTCTGTTCTAAAAATTGTTCCTAGTTGGCTTAATGGCTTAGAGGTAAATCATTTACTTAAAGGTTCCTAACCCTGACACTAATCTATACTCTTAAGGAGCATGCAGTAATTTTGCGATAGGAAAATATAATTACCAACCAGAGACATTGCAATGGCGTGGCTTCTTGGGAATCGTCTCTGAATGTTCTCTCAAAAGCCCCAAAGTTTTTGGATTTTACAAATAACTTTGTATCATTTGCCCCTAGTCTCTCAAAGGGTTTTAGCTTTAACCCCCGGTGATCCTACAAAGGATGAGTGATTATAGATGATTGATGGATAGCAGTGAAATGAATCATTTACTATTTTTATTGTCTATATTATTCTGCAATTAATATAACATTGTATTTGCTAAATTATACCACTTGTGATTATCAATCTATTATAGTTATGGTGTATTGTACTAGTCACTATTTAACTTATTCATTTTTGTCTATATTCTGTAATTAATATTTCATATTCTATTGCTAAAGCGCTATATAAATGAAGTAAATGAAGATGACTTGACTATTAGTATAGTATTACACAAACTATATGCTATTATCAATATATTATTCTACTTATGATATTATATAATTATACTATTCATTACTATTTTATTTGCTGTATACTGTTTGTTTATTTTATTGACTATACACTAAACTATTTATTATTACTTCTCACTTTATCTTATATTTACTATTTGCATTGCATTGTAGTTGTACCATCAATATGTATTACCATAAATGATACATCAGTTATCTTTGTTATTGTATATCTGGAGTATCTATTTGTAAATATCTATAATTTTAGTGCTATAAAAATACAGAAAGCATCTGCATGTGTGATTTGCTGATTTGTTTTATTTTCTCAATGGCTCAATTCTAAGCACAAGACGAGCTAAAATCGGATTAAAGACAGAAAATGCTTTTTCCACAATAAGACAACTTTATTTCTGTTCGGCAGATACACGCCCCTGGTGTTCCTGATGCGTCCAGTAGGGGGAGGCTGAGTTATGTTAAATAATCTTTTTTCTTTAATTATTATTATTTATTTATTTATTTTGTATTGCAAATGAAAGGATACAAGACATTAACAGTGAGAACTGAGAAGAGGAAAAAAAAAACAAGGGGGACATCAAAAGAGATTGAATTAGGCTAAACAAATCAATACAATTTTACATTTTGTCAATATAAAAAAATAAAGGTTCTTTACAACAGACTCAATGATATTATTTGTTTTAGAAACCTTTTATAAACCCTAGTCTTCTCTACTCACTTTAAAATTCATTTTCTTTTTAATGTTCTTTTGTTGCCTGCAGTCTTTAGCTTGCGTGAGATGTTATTTACTCCTTGCATTAAAACACAGCCTACTCCACATGGTTTCTGGGGCAACATTACAGTAGATATTGGAAATATATGAACTGTCTACGGTGTGAACACACAAAAGCATAATAGGCATGTATACATGGATGTAAATCTCTCTCTCCAAGTAATACTGCACACTCACTCAAATATTTTGATTATTTCCAACATCACACAATAAAACCCACATTAAAAACTTTTCCCATTTTGGTTTGAATGTAAATTCTGGTTTGAGTTGTTTCTTATAAATGAAATGATCTAATTATATAATTTATATCTTAATATACATTTTTTCTTAAAATAGCTTACTGGTCTGGACTAAAATGTAGGGTTTGTGCACTTAATGTGGGTTTTATCATACTCTGTCTTTAATTCTTTTTAACTTGCATCTCATAAAGGTGTGTGTTTGCTTTAGCTATAAGAAAATGAAAATCTCTCTCTAAACTTATAAACACCCATCTTTTTTTAACGACTACAAAATAAACAACTTACAGAGACATACATGGACATGGTTTTAATGTAATTTTCAATTTTCTCTGCACAGTCCATCATCGGTGGCCAAAAGAAAGCAAAGTGGAAATCAAAGTGGCTTGTGCCGTTGTACTTAGAAGATCAGGAGCAAATTGATGCAATCCACACTCCCCTGACATCAATTACACACACACACACACACACACACACACACACACACACACACACACGATAAAATCACCATGTATGCCCTTTTCAAAATAGTTAAAGAAATGGGCAAACCATAGGGGAGTCATCATAATTCATAAATGGTGTTAATAAAAAAAATTGTGAACAACAATATTGTGTCTTTCTTTTAAATGGCCCTTGGAATTTTAGAAAAGGGATAAATTGTGTGTGTCTTCATAAAATGCTAGGACACTGTTTTGTAGCTGTATGACGACCAATAGAGAATAGTACAGCAGATATTTAGTCGAGGATATGATTACATGGTACTGTCTAATGGGCTAAATTTGGTTAATATCTAAATGTAACTTTATATAAATTCATAACAATATATTTCCCTCAGTCTCCCATAAAAACCTACGGTGACTAGGCCTATAACTGCAGTAGGTCATATACTTGCCATAACATAGTTGATCCAACTAGGCCTATGTGTATTTTTAATTTTTCAATTCACAAAAACTCATAGTCTTTTGTATAGGCTGAGTGAAGAGAGTGAAGGCCAACTGAATATCTACAGGCATTTTAATCCGTGCAGATCTACACTGTAGCGTTTATGTTTAAATGAACAAAAAAACACAAAAAAATGTCAAGTCTATGGACGAGTTATTAATGTGCACGCGTCGATTTAATTGCGTTATTTCGCAGTATATCCCCCTACTGGACGCATCAGGAACAACAGGGGCGTATATCTGCCTGCTCCAGGTCTGCAGCCTCCCCGTATAGCAGTCTATGGGAGACTTCTTCTTCTATTGCAGTTTTATGGCGGTTGGCAAACCAACTTTCGGTGCATTACTGCCACCAACTGGACTGGAGTGTGAAGCACTATTCTGCATGTATAAATTAAATTATAATAATTTCTTCATCCAATCACTCTAAATTTTCCAGACTATTCCTATTGCTTTAACATAATTCATATCAGCACTATATATTTTATCTTGTTCTGCATGTACTTTCAAAATGCTTTCCATATTAAATGCTTCAACACCCAAGTTTCTTGCTTCCTTCTTAAGTTCTAACCTTTCTTTTTCATATTTAATACAATTTATTAAAACATGTTCAATTGTTTCTGCCTGGTCACAATAATAATTACATTTGCCCGTTTTATGTTTTCCTCTTTTGAACAAAGAATGATTTAGTCTAGTGTGCCTTATTCCAATGCCAGAAATAATTGTCTCTTCTTTTCTATTCCTGAAAACTCTTCTTCCATTTCCTACTGGTTTCTGTAGACTATACATATGTCTTCACTTGTTTTCACTGTTCCATACTTCTTGCCATTTGTTGTTTTTAAATTCTTTAATTTGACCTTTTTTGCTCAGAGTCACTTGTATATGTATCTCTGTGTGTTTCACAGCTTGTTTAGCTAGTTTATCCTCCACTTCATTAGCCTCCACTCGCACATGAGCAGGAACCCACAGGAACTCTATTAAGCTTACTTATTCTTAACAAACTTGTGAGAATCTCATATATAATATCTTGCCTTGCTGATTTATGTCCACTTTCGAGGCTTTTGATTGCTGTATAAGAATCAGAACATATTACTCTTAATCTTGGTTTTACATCCTCTACCCACTGGAGTGCTGCCATCATGGCCACTAATTCTGCAGCAAACACATATACATGGTCAGTTATTCTTTTTTTAAAGCAAGCCTTGTAATGCTGGTAATAAGATAAATTATAACACGAAAATGTCAGGGAAATTTTAAGGGTTGCTCATGGAGGATGGATATTTTAGTGCAAACAAAACAATT